CGAATTAAGAGATATTTTTTATTTTTATCATATTTGAAGAAATATAGGAGACAATCAGACAACTATTCATATTTTTTTTAGGATTCAAAGTAATGGCAGCTCTTTCATAATTATCTTGCTAGATATTTGAAGAAAATTTTTATATATTTTTTAAATTTATTTTTTTTAAATGATTATATTACTTATAAGATTAATTTAACTTATTTCAATTTAATGTGCTAATAATTTCGATTTTTTATCAGATAAATTGTAATTAATACATTTTTTTATGTCTATTGCGGGCTAGAATATACGCGGCGGTAGAGTTTACAAATTCACGTCTGAGCGTTGCACGGATATTCAGCACACAAACAGAAAAGAAAATGAACACCAGGATTTTTACGTGGAAAATCCGAAAGAGGGAAAAAACCACGGGGCCACGCCCAGCTCAAAAGTTCCACTAGTGTTTTGTAAATTACAAGAAGCTGATTCGTCCCACAAGTCAGGACGATCATATTACAATTCGTTTCTTCTAACTTGAAGCAAATTTATAAAGTTCTGCAGAATTCAGGCGTCTCCCGAAAATCCGGCAGAGTTCCGAGGTATTCAGGCCGCGTAAAGAACTCCGGCGGTGGTCGAGGAGGAGATGATTCTCCCTTTCCCTTTCTTCTCTTCTCTTCTTCTCTCTCTTCTCACTTGAGTCCTCTTGTGAAGAATGAGGGCTCTATTTATAGTTTTTCTGGAGTGGCATGACTTATAAATATGTGTGAGATCATGGGCGAATAAAGAGTGGTCGAATAGATGGCCGATATTGAACCCTTCGAGCGTGCACCGTTCAGTGGACATTTGGAGGCCTTAGTGATGTCGGAATTCGGCGATCTTGGGCTCGTTGGATTTGTCTCGTCAAGCCATTCGATTCGAGTGTAAGCTCGTTAAAATCAGAGACCGTTTGGTAACTCAAATTGTGGTTTGAACCTTCCAATATCACTTCGGGTCCTTGATTTGGACCCATTTGAGCTCGGATTGGGTTGAATTTGGTTTCGTTGGGTTCGTATTTCCGAGACACTCAGTTTGACTGTAAGCTCGCTGAAATCAGAGTTCGGGTGCTTCCGGATTTAATTTTTGAAGTTTCCGGGTTGATTTATTCCTCGAGATTCGTGCCCGATCAAGATTATTTCATGATGATGTATCAATTCCTATATTTTTATAATTAAAAATTGCTATCTCTGCACCACTTGAAACTATATATTTCATGAACATGGTTGCCAATAAAATCTAAATTAAAATATTATCAGGATTCTTAACTTCTTTATGAAAAGTAAAAAAAAAATGTATTCATCACGAAAAATGGATAGAATTTAGCCCAATTTTAATTGTTTTGTAAAATAAAACAAAATGTTGAAGGATTAATAGTAAAATTTTAGCAACAATTTTAATTAGAAAAATATTGCATCATAAAAATAAATCATTAAGGTTTTGTTTGAGACAACTTTTTTGTTGCTTCTTAAAATAATTTTTTAGTAAAGAAAAATTTTGTACTAGAACATTATTTTAAAAAATAATAATAAAATCGTCCCAAATAAATCCTAAAATTTCAGTATTTCTTTTTAGCATAATTCAGTAATAATCATAATTAATTTTATCACAATTATTTTTGCCGACTTCCTCTATTGTCTTCTTTCATAAAGTTTTGTCGGGCATGGTTGGAGGATGTTTCTGTTGGAATAAGCCCTTCCTCCTTTTCTCTTTAAAATTCGATAATCAAAATTAATTAAAAAAGGGTTTTCAGAACAAAATTAAGAACAATGTAATTCGTAGTTTATTTTTCATATATATTAAGAAAACTAAATTTTTTTTTTTTTTTTTTAAATCCTGTTGGTAATTGTTTGATGTGGACCATAAGATATGGAGATGTGTTGCTATCAAAATGCAAATTGATATAGGAAATTTTTTGTGAACCACAACATGAAATCTCATAATTTGATCAAACAAAAATTTAGATATAATTTTTAGATTTCAAATAGCCGAGTATTTATGGCATATACTTAATGAGAAATTTCTTAAGTAAAAAGAAGCTAAATTATTATGAAAAGCTAAACCGATAAGACAAAATCGTGATGTCATTAGGCTAAAGCATATAATATTTCAATAATGGAGATGTTGATTTATTACACTTCATATATTGATTATATGATTATTCAAATTCAGCTTACATTTGGGAAGGCTTTCTACTGCTTCCTAAAACAGCTTTTAGTACAAAATTAAAATTTTTCTACTAAAATATCGCTCTAAGAAGCAGTAAGAAAGCTGTCCTATGTAGAATGGTAAAGAACTTGCCAAGATAGGAAAGAAGAAGAGGAGAGAGGTATCACAGGATCGTGAAAGCTTCAACAGGGAGAAACAGAAAATGTAAATTTTATTTCATGGTTTTGTGAGAAGAGTACAGTGTGTATAAATAGACAGAGGAAGTTCCAGAACATACTTCCTAACCGTGTAATACAAGTATTAACCCATACAGTGATTGCCACGTGTATTGTAATGCTAACACCCCCCTTCAAACTCATGGCTGTGTAATGGCCGTGAGTTTGCTGGAAATATGCTTGAATCTTTGAGTTGGTAGCGCCTTAGTGAATAAATTGGCCAGCTGGTCTGTTGTACATATGTGGTGAACGGAGATGTGATTCTTCTTGATGCAATCCCGAATGAAGTGGCAGTCGACTTCTATGTGCTTTGGACGTGCATGGAAGACGAGATTGTTGGCAAGAGCGATGGCCGATGTGTTGTCGTAATAAACTGTGGTTGGATTGTCTTGAGGTATGTGAAGATCCTCAAGAAGTCATCTCAACCAAAGTATTTCAGTGGCTTCTGCGGCGAGTGCTCGATACTCTGCTTCAGTGGATGACCGGGCGATTGTGCTTTGTTTCTTGACTTGCCACGAGATGGGTGATTGTCCGAGGAAATTACAGAACCCGGAGATGGAGGATCGGTCTTGTTGGTTGCTAGCCCAATCTGCGTCGACACATCCCTGCAGAATAAGAGAGTCTCGTTTGAGTGGAATACCTGTTTGTATGGTGCCATGGATAAATCGAAGGAGTCTTTTGAGGGCTTCGTGGTGACGTTTGAGCGGATGTTGCATATGTTGGCATAGTTGTTGTACCGCGAATTGTATGTCTGGTCTTGTTAGAGTGAGATACTGAAGAGACCCAATGATTTGTCGGTAGAGATTTGGATTGTCGTGTGGGTCGTTAAACGTGTTGGTGGTGGTGACTTTGCACGGGATGGGTGTTGGAACAGTTTTAGATTGCGACATGCCAGCTATTTCAATGATTTTCTTTGCATAAGGTTGCTGATGAAGAATAATACCAGAAGTTGTCTTGTGTGCTTGAATGCCCAAGAATTGAGATAGAGATCCTAGATTTCGCATATGAAAATTTTCATGTAGATTAGATAAGAGTTTATGAATTTCTGTTTGAGAGTTACCTGTGAGAAGTATGTCATCGACGTAGATTAGGATGTAGAGGCGAATGTTCCCGGATTTGTAGGTGAGAAGAGATTGGTCCGAGGCGCTTATGTGGAAATCGTACCGTGTTAGATGATTTGATAGTGTTGCATACCACTCTCGAGGCGATTGTTTTAGTCCGTACAGAGCTTTCTTTAGACGACAGACGTGGTTGGGATGGAGAGAATCTTGGAATCCCGGTGGTTGATGCATGTGTATGGTTTCGGATAGAGTCCCATGGAGGAAATCGTTCGATACGTCGAGCTGGTGGATGATCCAATTGTGATGAAGAGCCAGGATGATGAGGACGCGGATGGTGGGCATTTTTGCCATCGGACTGAATGTTTCGGTGTAGTCGATACCGTATTCTTGTGTGTACCCTTTTGCTACAAGAAGGGCTTTGTACCGGGAGATTGTTCCCTCGGAGTTGTATTTGACGCGAAAAGTCCATTTGGATCCGAGGACATTTTGAGATGGTTAGGGAGGAACTAGTTCCCACGTACCTTGAGATTGTAGAGCCTGAAATTGTTGTGACATAGCAGTACGCCAATGTTCGGACTTAGCCGCTTGACTGTATGTAGTTGGTTCGTTAGGTTGTATTATGTGAGCCAGGTCGAATATCTTTTTGGGCTTAGAATGTCCGCTCTTGAGTCTGGTAAGCATGGGATGTTGTTGATTGGGCTGAGCGGGGTGTGATCCCGTGGATGGAGTGTTGGCAGTGAATGGTGTATTGGAAGATGGTTGTGTGATTGGTTGTACCTGAGGGACGGGCTGAGGTGTGTCTCGGAAAGATGTGTTGGGCAGTGTGTTGGTGTTATTAGGCTTAGGGACGGTGTGGTTGGTGTTGATGGGAGAGGGTATGCTTGAGATGGGGACAAGCAGAAGAGGAGGAGTGGAAGTTTGTAAGGATTTGGTGATCGTAGGTTGAGGTAGATTGGTGGCATAGGGAAAGATAGATTCGTTAAAGACAACGTGGTTTGATGTATAGATTTGGTTCGTAAGGATCGAGACATCGATAGCCCTTTTGAGATGTGGCGTATCCAATGAAGACACACGGTAGAGAAATGGGAGAGAGTTTGTTCGTGGTGTAAGGTTTGAGCCACAGAAAGCAAAGACATCCGAAGACTCGGAAATAGTTGTAATCCGGTTGTTTGCCGAAAAGAATTTCGTGAGGGGATTTGGATTGAGTTTTAGTAAGTTAGCCGTGAGGATAGTGTCTACCCAAAGGTGTTGAGGGAGCGAGGCTTGGATTAGGAGCGTGCGAGCCGTCTCGATGAGATGACGGTGTTTACGTTCGGCGACTCCGTTTTGAGAGGGAGAATGCGGGCATGACGATTGATGGATTATGCCGGCATTACGATAGAGATTGAAGAATTTGTTATTTATGAATTCGCCGCCATTATCTGTGCGTAGGGTCCGTATGGTTCGATTGAATTGTCGTTTTATAAAGTTTTGAAATTCTCTGAATTTTGTAAATACTTCAGATTTGTGCGAGATTGAAAAAATCCATGTAAATTTAGAAAAATCGTCTATGAATGAAACGTAAAATTTGAAACCATTATTTGATACAATGGGAAACGGACCCCAGACGTCCTATTGAAAAAAAGAGAAGGGAGAGTCGGTTACAATGAGTGAATTAGATGTAGGCAATCTGTGACTTTTTGCCATGCGACATGAGTTACAGTGTGAACTGGAGGTGTGAATGTAGCTGTTCCGTCTAGAGAGAGCAGCCAGGGTGGATGCAGATGGGTGGCCTAGTCGGTGATGCCAAAGATTCGGAACGTGTTGAATGGAAAGAAGTGCAAGCTAATCCATGTGATCTGCCCGACGGTTTTGGCTTTGAAGAGGGTATAGGCTGTTAATAGGACCCGTGAGAAGATGGCGGTGGCTCTTCCGGTCCTGAATTTCATAGCCGTTAGGGGAAAAGATAATGATGCAATCGTTGTTCTGAGTTAGTTTATGAACCGAAAGAAGATTGAAAGAAAGATTGGGAACAAGATTTAGATTCTTTAATTGGAGACTACCTGATGGTGTGGGTAGAATGCCTTTACTGGTATTGTGGATCGGGAGTTGGTGGCCATTGCCGAGAACGACTTGGCTTGATCCGGTGTAGCTTTGAGATTGTTGAACATTGCTAGGATCGGAGGTTAGATGAGATGAAGCTCCGCTGTCGAGGTACCAATCGGATGAGGTGGGTTGTGCCGGTGTCGTGAAGAGGGCCGGTATAGGATCGGTGTTGTAGTTGTCGTCGTTGTGGTGCCAGCACTTGATGGCCGAGTGACCAAACTTACCACATATTTGGCAGGTGATAGAGGGACGGTTCTGCCCGGTTCCGCGAGGTTGGTTGGAATTGCTCGGTTGGCGGTTGTTTGATCTACCGCGGTATGAATTGCGTCCGCGACCCCTACCGCGACCGGCGGTAAGGGCCGTTTGATTGCCGACGAGATTGAGTGTTTGGAGATCTTTGAGCGTTTCATGGGCAAGGTTGAGCTCTTCGTTGCAGAGAAGGGTATAAAGCTCGTCAAGACTTACAGATCGAAGATTGGTGCGGATGGCCGTTTTGAAGGATTGATAAGTGGTTGTAAGGCCATTGAGGGTGTAATGAATGACGTCTTCGACGTCGACTGGAGCTCCTGCTGCAGCTAGTGCATCGACTTTAGATTTCACGTCAAGGAGGTATTGCGTCATAGACTTGTCTTTCATAGACAAGAGATGTAGTTCGTTCTTGAGATGGGCAATTCTTGAACGTATGCAAGATTGAAGCCGGGTGTCCAGAGTTTGCCATATCTCAGAACAGTGGTCGATGGAGAGTAGGATTGCAGATGAAATGACGGAGTAGAGAGCCGCGGCGAGTTTTGGTCGATGAGGACCCAGGTGGTGTAGGCGGGGTTTTGGATATGGTGACCAGTACTGGATTGAATGAATTGAGGTGGTGAGGGAGATGTGCCGGTCAAAAACCCTTCAAAGCCGTTTGCGCGAATGATTTTTAGCACTTGAGATCGCCAAATGGAGTAATTATCAGCCGTGAGGACTTGAGTTGTAACATTCTTGATGTTGCTCATCAAGAATTTGAGGGATGAGGGGATTTGTGGTGAGGAGAATGTACCATCATCAGTGAGGTTTTCTGGCGGGGTTGGGGAGGAGGTGGTGTCTGTGGAGGCCATTGCAGACAAAGATTCAGATAGTGTTAAGGAAAGAGGAGCCTGGAACTTCTGATACCATGTAGAATGGTAAAGAACTTTCCAAGATAGGAAAGAAGAAGATGAGAGAGGTATCACGGGATCGTGAAAGCTTCAGCAGAGAGAAGCAGAAAATGTAAATTTCATTTCATGGTTTTGTGAGAAGAGTACAGTGTGTATAAATAGACAGAGGAAGTTCCAGAACATACTTCCTAACCGTGTAATACAAGTATTAACCCATATAGTAATTGCCACGTGTATTGTAATGCTAACATCCTAAACAAAGCCTTAATTTTTAGTAAATTTACTTTTAAGATAGTGCAATTTGTCGTGATGAGTCCAATTATATCAAAAACGTTTAAAGTTGAGTCCATATGAGCCTATAATAAGCATTTACAAGTATAATTGAAATTCTTCCAAGATCATTTGACGGGTAGGGGTTCATATGTACCCCAAATTTTAAAATAAATTTCTACAATAGACACATATGATAAGGAAAAAAATTATTCATTTTAAAACTCATTAAATTACTAAAATATCAAAAATTTATAAGCGAATAATGCAGGATTTAAAATTGTCTAATGGAGTATTCAAAAATCTCAAAGAAATAATTAAAATATCACCTCCAAAAATTCATAAGTATTTTTTTTCGAAAATAAAATACATTAAAGAAGAAGGGATACAACCAAAGACCCCACTGAGCCATAGCAATATATTACAAATTATAAATAGCAAGGAAAATAAAGTGACGGTGAGAGACAAAATAACGAACGCGGCCTCGACCCGTAGATTATAAATAGCAAGGGAGGGGCCATCCATGGAAGAAAAACAAAGCGAGAAGCTGCCAAAACAGAACCACCTAGATTGACAATCAACCCCAGCCATCCACGATGCTCGCAACAGAGCTGCTTCCTCATCGTCCATAGCGAAACAGATTGAAAAGGGCAACAAAAAATGCCCACAACCTCCAAACACAGCAACCAACATCAAAAAGGGGAAGAACCAACCCTCAAAGTAGCCAACAATTGCAATCCACAGAGATAAAGTGATACTAGCCCAAAGCACAATATTATTTTTTGCCACATCGATCCCTACCCCTACCCCTATCATGAGAGGTAACTTGCTTAACATGAGGAACAATCTGTAATGCAAAATCAGTTCCAAGTTTATCATCACCACTAGAAATGTCTGACCTCTCCAACCAATCAATTTGCTCATGACAGGAGCCATTCATGGAAGGCTTGAAAAGGCATTTTAATTCTTCATTAGAAATAAGAGAAATAGGGACTTCATTAAAAGGTTCATTGGACGACAGCAGAGGTGTTGTAGGAGCCGAAACATCCCCCAAACCCAAATGCAGAAGAGAAACACAAGAAGTTCCGACCTCAACAATAGGAGAAGACACCTCACAGACAACAACCAAAGGTTCAACATATTCCACAGACCGATTAGACGGAGCACGCACAGCATCTCCACACAATAAGCTACCAGTACAATTAGTTTGACAATGCAACACTCCTACATCACAAATATTAGGAGCAGAAAAAGAAGAAACCAAGGGCAAATTCTTAAAAGACTCCACCCCACGCACAAGAGTGGCAGACGGGAAGGGGGCCAGAGCAACAACCGACGGACTTGCGTCGACCAAAGCCACGGGGCTAGCAACACAGACAGCAGCCAAAGTTTCCACATAATTAACATTTACATTTTCATCCTCACGCACAAGAGGGACAGACGGGGAGGGATCCAGACCAAAAAAAGACTGGCCAGCACCGACCAAAACCACAGGGCTAGCCTCACAGACAGCAGCCAAAACACCCACAAACTCAACAATCACTAAATTAATATTCTCAATCTCCTTAGCAATAACAAGATTCTCTAAAATATACAAAACAGACTCCTCATTAACTAAAGGCAACCCATGCAAAATAGAGCTAGAAGAAATTCATAAGTATATCATGTTCTAATGTAACCGACATCATTCATCGTCAATTCACATCAATGATGCCCGTCTATTATATTATCAGCTTAATATTTTTGTATATAAAATATTTTATGTAATATTAAGATGATAAAATGTTTATTTTTTTATCCCAAATATTGTTATACATAACATAAAATTTATAAAACTGGAATTTTCAGAATTTTAGAATT